CGTGGCCGCCGCGCTCCCTTATCGCCGCCCGTGACCTTCGCTGGTTCCAGATTAGAGGCTGGAGCCAGTCGGATTTGTTTGATTTCTGTTGGTGGTTATTAGGCAGAGGAAGTGCCAGAAGGGATTTTGACCTCAAGTTTAAACCTATTCCAATTAGAGCCACGGAGACTTTAATTACCACACTCCAGCCACTTCGGCTAAAGCAACAACAAAAACAAACACAAAACCTGGTGGAAGACGGGCTTTTCTTCTCATCAGCTCTTCAGCCTGATGCCTGTTTGGTCCACGTGTTGCGTGACCGTCAGCACGGGGTGTTTTGGCCCACGAAGCCCCTCGTGTCACCTCCGGACCTGGCAGCTGTCGCAAGCAACACCGCTGGGGCCGTGCCCATGGGCAGGAGGCACAGTGCCCTCACCCACCACCCTGACACCCATTGCTGCCCCAAGGTTGCTCCCAGGACCAGCCCCTGGTACCCAGAGGGCTCCAGGCAACAAATAATCGAGGTTATGGTTCAGGGGGCCATTAGAGCTCACTAGAAGATGATGGATATTTTGGAAATACTGATTTCTTACATAATCACTTGTACTGAGTCATTCAAATTTTTTTTTAAAAGCACTCCAGAGTGCTCTTGCACCTTGCTCCACTTGGTCCGGGGACACCGAAGGTATTTTATTTGCCCTGGGCTAACAGCACCATTTGGCTCCCAGTGCAGACCCCAGGCAGAGATCTTCTTTATTTCTAATATCCACTGCTATTAGCTTTTATTCAAATATTTTAAGCTCAGCAAAGTAGAGCTTGTGTCTGTGGCAGTCCTGCAACACGGTCTGGGCATGCAGAAGCTCTGCAGTCTCGGGCTGGGCTGGAGCTTTCGGCTGAATTATGTCTTCTGGCCCTTTCAGGTGCTTCCCACCACGCTCTGCTGCAGGATCTCCTGGCCAGCCCCTCCACCCTCACAAGGGTATAAAAAGAGGAGAGTGCAGCAGCCTTGAGCAGAGGTCACGGTAAGCCAGCCCGTGAATCATTTCTACTAACAAAGGCACCGAAAATAAGTCAGTCGTTGGCTTTGCAAGGTGAAAACACAACCAACGTGATGAATTCAGTGCAGCACTTCCCTTGTGAGAAAGGACTTCTGCAGCAAAGGGAAAAAGGTTTAGAGAAATCAGTCCTAAACCTCGAGATATTTATCAGCTTCTTGGAAATGTAGTTGTGTATCAGGTGCAGCGAAAGGGGAGGAGGAAAAAGTCTTTCTCAAGTAAGTAGGAGGTCTCTCATTTCGGGGTTTTATTCCTCAGCTTAACCCTCTATTTCACAGGGACGTCACAAAGAGTTAGCACCGATCTTTTCTCTGGAGGCTGAGCTCCTACCGGAGCAGGCGGAAGAGAACGGACAATGGAGAGATCCCATTCGCTTCCTCCACTGCAATCCTACCTTCTCCGCAGCCAGATTGGATTTCCTCCAGCACATGCTGTTCCCCCTTTACATCTGGTCCTTCTCCCCTCGGATTGCTTTTCCTTCTTCCATGGGAACTGATGCTTCTTGCACAGAAGTGGTGACATTAGTTTGCTGCAGAATCTCGATCTCTGTTAGCGCTTGTCATCCACTCCAAGGTCCTGTTTGTTCGGATCACTCCCTCGCTCGGAGGCTGCATCCCAGCATTTCAACATGTCAACCACAGGCAGGTCCAAGGAAGACTGGACAGATGGTCACAGTGCAAGAAATGCTGGGGTTATCTAAACGTAAGCACCTCTAAAACGGGAGAGTTGAGGGGGAGCAGCGATGTGACGCTGAAGTCTGTGATGCCCTTCCAGCCCCAGGCCCTACACAAACCCTCCCACCCAACCAAGCTCCTGGGAAAATCACAGCGCTGGGTGTCCTGCAAAGTCACCCTGGGAGAAAACGCAAAAAAACCTCCACGGAAATCACAAGTATCACCCACCGCAAGGGCCGAGCCCATCCAGCCACGTCCCCTCTCGGGGGAAGGACAGAGCGCGCCGTCTTCCCCGATCAAAAGGCGAAACTCATTTCTGGGAGATTAAGTGCGAATCCTGTCTGAACCTGCTCGAGGTTTTACACCGCTGGAAGGAGAAAACAACCCGGCTGACAAAACACAGGCAGGAAGGCCAGAGGTATTTATCCGGTCACCGCAGATGACCACAGACCTGCCACCGAGGTGTTATAAAGCGGCTGAGCTGTCAGGGACCCAAAATAATTATTTGAGCTTCAAGCCAGCGTCAGGCCACGCCAAACACAAGCGCAGGTTGCTCCAGCCCCCGGCGCCCACCCGCTCGGGGCAGCACAGCCCTCCCCTGCGCACTCCATTTCCGCGGAGGAACAGGGAGCAGGAGGTGTCTGCAGCTTCAGGCCACCGAAGGAAGAGAAGCAGGATTAATATTCCAGTCCTCTGAATTCACAAGACCAAATAAGGTCCAGATGCCAAGAGGGTAAACACAAGGCCCATCTACCAAGTTTGGGCAAATGTGATTCAGAGTTCCCTAACACTACAGATTTTGCCTTACAGGATAAACTTAATAATTCTCTCTGTGTACACTTAATTCTTGTTTAAAAAAAGAAGTCTCTGTGCAATCTCTATTTACCTCCGTCGGCCCCTTGTTTGTGAAGACTACGCGTTCGAAAAAAGTTCAGCCCTAAACCAAAACCACGACCAAACCATTTCACGGGGCGGGTGAGCAATATATGCGAAACTCTGACCAAACCCAACACGTTCCCAAAAACGTACGGAATCACCACTTCCCGACCTGCCGGGCCAGCCCTGAGAACTGTCTCAGGGTTTGAAAATTTGGGTACAAAAAGGAGGACAGACACCTTGAAGTGGAGATTTGTGTGACACCTCCTGTGGAAAAGTAATCCCACAGATAATCTGCATTTGTGATCCACAACCGGGTGCAATAAAGCATCGAAACTAAAGCAATCACTGATCTTACAACAAAAAAACTGCTACAGAAGTGACATTTATTAATATTCTGCTATATTTACAGTTTTAACATAGTAAAACCTCGAAGTGAATTACCACTTGGCAGAAAGCACGAAAGTGCACGTTAAATCTACATTTATTACGCAGCATAGTCTCTGCTAACACAAATTAGAAAAGCGAGAATTACAGGTATGTTAGGAATTGTCTCAAAAGTCCCAAGCCAAAGGGAGAGGGGAAAAAAAAAAAAAGGCCTTTGTTTTGCAAGTTAATTTTTTTTATACAAAGTTGCGACACGATCTTTCATTTTTACACTACCACTGTGTACCGTGAAAACCCCTACATAGTCCAAAAAAGTAGGTAGTATGAAAGTAAAGTATACTACAACATGGAGAAGATAGACCATTTGAAAAAATTAATACTTGTGCCACCTTCGAAATAATACTCTCTCCCCGTTAACACCTCGGGAATCAATCCCCGCAGCCGGGGGCAGAGGGGCTGTGCCGGCAGGGACTGCCCAATGTCCCCCCAATTTCCGTCCCCGCCTACGGTGTCAGCGCCGAGCAGGGCAGAGCCCGACGGCTCCAGGACAAGGAGGACAGTAAAAAGCAAGTCTGTCCCCTGCTGGCTCCGGGGACAGGGATCATGCTACCGCAAAATCACTACAGACACTACCGATGGAAGGGAGGGAGGCTTTTGATGAGCACGCCACGGACTCGACTGCAATAGCTTTTTTTTCAAACATCAGCCACTAATGATTCAATGCCTATAGAATTCTGAGTTAATTATTAAAATTTTACACCTAGAAACAAATAGAAAGAACTGCTTCCTCTGTTTTGTTGTTGTTGTTGTTTTCCCAACAGTACTTTTATTTATTTATTTTAAAGCAGGTGATTATTTTTTCTTCTGCTCCAGAGTCTTGATTCACTTCCTGCAGGTGTCCTGTCGCTGCTTCTTGAGGGAGAATTCATTAACGCAGGAAGACATTTGCCAGAAAACATCTGTCGGAGAAGGATATTGAAGATTGAAACTATAGTTAGATTGTTATTTCGGCGAAGGATGTAGTTTCACAAAGAGCTCAGGATGTCTAAAGGCTTATAAACTATCTCCGTACACACTAACGTGACTCCAGTGAAATGCCCGAGCTGTGGCGCTTTGTGAAAGCTCTAAAACGATCAAAAAATAAGCAAGCAAATAAAAATTTAAAAAGAAAACCCTCTAACACCTCCATCCTCACATGCAAAGGGACAAGCAAGGGCTCTAAAACCGTAACTTTGAATTCCAAACACAGGAAGAGCCTCTGCGACAAGAAACGTCAAAGAGCCTTTAATAAACGAAAAATCAAGTTTCAGTAAAGAAGCAAAATGCAAAAAAATGGTTCAAAAAGAGCAAACTACAGCTGATGGAGCTGATGCTTAAACGCTCCACTATGTGACCGTACAACTGGGGGAAATAAACCCTTCGGTGA